ACCAAAGGCAATAAATATTAGGTATATAACAGCTAAATATAGCTTCATAATAAACTGGAAAAATGTGGCTAAAAGGTTGTTGGTCAAATAATACACAATATTGCCAAAAACAAAAGAAAAAGGAAACAGCTATGAATTAGCACAAAAGAACAGAAAATTAGCTAAAACAGTGCTAAAATCCAAGTTAAACTTGGCTTGGGAATAACTAATAGGAGCAAAAAAAGCAACAAAATAGCTCTACATTGGCAAAAAGCTGTTGAAATAGCTGGTCAGAAACAATTTACAATATAAAACGAGGAAGAAATGTAAATAAACACTAGAGAAAGCATTTTTAATTCTGTGTTAAGCCTAAACTGCACGGAATAAATACATAACTGTCCCTAATGTAACAAATGATCTGTATATTACACTTAGCAATAATGCACAGTAAGTGACCCATGTCAGATTTGGCACCATCTTCTGTTCAAAGGCCACACTACAGAATGAGAGGCTGCTTTAAAGGTAGAGAGGGCACATGAAAAGTGAAGGAGAGAATAGAGTAGAACTCAAACAGTGTGATGTGGTGTATTAGGAATGACCATGCTGGGAAATAAGGCACAGATAAATAGTTGTCTTTTTTTTAACTTTATTCCATAGTCTGTTCTATTTATTACCCTTAATTTGGCTCCAGAGGTTTATTTTCCTGGTAAACTAAATACTAACTGGAAGTGTGGAGTAAGACACAGCTATTTGTTGTTATTTTTACAGCATGGCCTGCGGAGACATTCACTGATTCAAACAACATTCTGGCAACAATTTCAGCCACAACAAAGTGAAGGAAAGCGACGGATGCAACATGTGAGTGTGTGGGCCAATCTGTTCAGACCTGTCTAAACACTGTCTGTCACTACACCCAGAGTTTACTAATATTTATGTTTACTTAAAAATAATAAAAATGCTGAGGTGTTGACAAAGAAGGGAGCTCATGCTTTCGGCTGTCACAGCATAAATACGTACAGTTATTTGAGGTGTGATATTCAGAAGAAATTGTACTTAAAATAATTATGGTTTCTGAGTTTAATGATGAAGATAAAGATGCCTGGTAATGAAAACCTGAGGCTAGTTTTTAGCAATATTCTAGGATAACCTTTACCTTTTTTTGCAAATTGTAAGTATAAGTTTCCCTTATATTTAAGTTATTGGTTAGCCAGAATTTTGGCTAACAATTAGACTTCCTTTTAGCTTTTCTGATGGCAATAATTATGGATCTTTCTTCAGTTCGTAACCAACTTTGAGTATGTTTTTTCAGATTTTTCTGGCATAATTACATAATTTGTTGATTCATGATTTAGCAATAGTCCCTGTTATCTCTGTTAGCTGAAAGATGAATGCTTTCCCTATTGGCTTATGTTATTTTCATATTTAAATTCAGTTTCATTATTCCCATCTACTTATTTAAACATATAAAACATATGCTATGCTTTTTAATGTAAAACTCTGAGACAACCATTTGTACAACAAACACATTGTTTCAAATCAATCTGAGGTAAATCTAGTGTAAAAAAAGGTGTTTTTGTGTTGGTGTTTGTGTGGACTAACAAACAGACAGCTGCTGGACAAACAGAGCTGTAGGAGGAGGAGGGGTGAGGTGAGGGGGGGAGAGACTGAAGCAGAGCCTCGCACACGGTGTCCGGCGGTGCGGGCGTTCATGCGGCAGAGCCAGAAGCGCCCGCGGGAACTGCGCTCAAAGGTGGCCCTGGGTGATTGGCCCAAAACATAGAAAAGAGGAAGTGTAAAAAGTGTTTTGGAGGTGGAGGAGCTCAAAGGGAGTTGGGGGTGGAGGAGTGGGGGGGGCGCCGGGGCTACTTGGTAACATTTCACTTGGTTTTATTTAAAAAATAAGAAAAGAAAAGAAAAGTAGCTTCTTTAAGTTTATACTTTTAAGTTATTTTCTAGCTAAAATAAGTATTTTGGCTACCAACGTCATTGCCGTCTGTTATACTGTATATATTTTTAGGCCTCTTTGGGCACTTGGTAAAGTTTTTGTAAACCCCGGCTGTACAACTGGTTGTTTTTTAAGTATGATGGGTTAACTAATTGCAACATTAGCTGTTAATTTGTGAACATTATGCTAGTTCGGTTTGTGTAATTTTGTGTAAACCAGAGCTACGTTAAAGTAGTTCTAATGTTAAAAAAAATCAAAGTTTACACCAACTATGCTCAAAGGCAATTTTAATACATATTAATATATTTGGGATATTCAATAAAATATTGTAAATAAATTAATAATAAATATACATTAGTAACATAAGGTAGTGAAGTGTCTTGGAGCCCATTTCTCATTTTGAAGAGAAAATCAATGTTGGTCCATTACCAGCAGATACAGTAGAGTGTTTCTCCTCCTAAACTGAAGTAAACTCCCTCCACTCTCATCTATTGCACCTCTCCATCCCTCCACCTCCTCCTCCTCCCACCTTGTCTATCAAACAGCTGAGGCCCCTGGAAGCCTCCTCTGCTCCATCAGGAGCTGACAATGACTTCATTGACGCGGCAGCTCGCCATTAATCTTCATTTGTCCCATCATATCCTGCCATTGGTATGGAAATGGGAGCCCATCTCCGGTGTGAACTGACAGTTGGTGTTGGCGAAGAGGGTGGTGAAGGCGGGTATAGGTGCTAAAGCAGCGAGGGGCGGGAGATGCGAGGGGTGCCATTTGGCCACATAGAATCTCACACACACACACACAGTGTGGGGTGAAGGCAGGGCGAGGTAATTTGATTTCTCAGCTGCCCAGGAGATCACTCTCTGAGAGGGAGGCCACTCTGAGGAAGGGCGTGTGGGGTTTCCAATCTGTCACCCAGGGGCTTCGACCTATAACATACAGTTAATTGTGTTTGTTTCCCTCCCTCTGGTAAACACACGCAGACAAATGCCAACCCATACTGTGTGTTGGCTGTCAAACCCCTGATGGCTACAGAGGTGGAGGAAATAGATGTCACTCCTCAGTGGGTTAGTGACGACTCAAAGGAGAAACATTTTTCAATTTCTGATTGCTGGGATCAACAAAGTCTATTTGTCTGTTATCTAGTAAAATATCAACAGCAAATGTTACCTAAAATATATACCAAAAATACCAAAAAAAATACCTAAAATATAGTATTCAACAAAAATCAAACAACAAAGCCTTGTTAGCAAATTGATAACGAATGGTTTACCAATAGGTATAAATAGGCAAAATAATAATATGTTGAATGTTGAGAAAAAAATAACGTGATGTAGACAATAACCAAACTTTAAAAAACATCCAACCAAAACTGCCCTAAAATATCAGTTTTTATTTATTTTGAAGTTGTGATTTATGAATAACCAAAATACTTTCAGCAATTATAAAAGAAAGTCAACCATGTTGCCACATCATGGATCAAACATTGATTGTTGGATTAACGGAGATGCCCCTCTGGAATGCAACACTTCAAACAACAAACACTTAAAAAAAAAAAAAAAAAAGCAGAGGAAAGACAGCAACAGTCGTCTCCCTGAGCAGCGCCTCAAAGAGCTCGGTGACATCCTCTTTTTCCTGTGTCCTTTCTGACGAGGCACAGACCCAGTGTCTTTGATCAGCACTCAGGAAATTTCATTAGAGCGGAGATGGGAGGATAAGAGACCACAGAAAGCTTCAGTGAATGGGGAGAGAGGAAGAGAGGAAGATGAAAGAAAAGATAAAGAAGAAAACGGTGGAACCGAGGGACAAAGACGGCGATAGTGGCATCTCACTTTTCTCCACAAGACAAAAGGAGAGTGAGAAAGGAAGAGGAAGCAAACTGTGACTGTCAGGAGAGAAATCAGAACCTTAAAAAGAACGAGTTTTTTTTTTAAATTCACTTTTTTAATGCTACTTTCACGCTGAATTCACATGCATCAAATATTGGCATATTTGCAGGGGTCCTCAGCTTATAACGACAACCTCACGTCGCCAAAATCCCTACATAAATAAATTAATATAAATTAAGTCTTGATCCCACATTCGGACGAGAAGAAGAAGATCACATTAGCAGTGAGATGCTATATTTTTTTTAACCTTTTTTGCCCTTAATTATGGCTCCCAGGCATAAGTCAGAGTCTTCTGATGACATTGCTTTTCACAGTAAACTGTAGAGCACAATACAGAATTCAATAGCACACTTTCCACGTGGTCTTTGTTGCTGTTCCATTTCCTACATATGTTACGATATGTGAAATGCAATTGTGGGCACGTTCTGAATTTTCTCATAAACAAAATCAACATTTAACGCATCATTGGATTCTTTCACTGTAGTGAAAGTGGCAGAGACAAAAAAAATGGTTAATAACAAATGTGTCCAAGTTCTGTCGCGGCGGTTCTCCAGCTTGGAAAGAGATCAGAAAGAAAGGCAGCCATTGGAATCCAGTTAAAGATCATCAGAGATCATGGAGGCAGTTAAAGAACAATGGATTTGTTTCAGTCGAAGCCCGATCGACTTGTTTGCACTTGTTATGTATGTAACTGCTTTAAGGATAAAAATAGCTCATCTATGGAGCTCTTTTTAGCAGAAGACGTCTTCTGCCTGTCGTCTACCGTTTCAAAGATGCCTTTTCATTCGTCATTGTGAAACACACATTGGACGAGAAAGGAAGGGAAGTTGTTTGGTGCTGTTCGGGGGCAAACAAATTAAAATAATTGGGGTAAAAATGACAGGGTAGAATACAAACCCCAAGCATGTTGTGTAAAAATGGTGCCCAGAGCCAGATATGTGTTAAAATGATTCCTGAATCACATCCAGCTGCTGAGAAACAACACAGCGACAGCGTCTAAAGAGACGGGAGAGAGTGGAGGGAGACGGGCGGGAGCAAGGGACCTTTAACCTTATCAATCATGTAGAACAGAGGAAGGAGAGAAGAGGAGGCGACAGGGGAGAGACACACACGGCATCTCCTTAACCTTATCAATTACAGACCAAAGAGGAGGAAGGGGAGATAAAGACCGGGAGCCGGCATCTGTTTACCTTATCGATCATGTCGGGCCGGTTAGTGGCAGCCAATACTGTGACGTCTCGGAGCTGCTCAATGCCGTCCATCTCTGTCAGGAGCTGAGCCAGGACACGGTCTCCTACACCACCAGAGCCAGAGGAGCTGAGGAGGTGCAGAGAGACAGAGGATCAGGATGGATGAAGGAAAAGTAAATTAGATTGATATGTAGAGTGGTTTTCCATGAAAAGGATGCAGTATTTAAGTGGGCAAAAGGGAAATTATTCATACAGTGAAATTATAAATTACAGATTAGTAACAGACACGGTACAGGAAGGGCAAATGATCCAGAGGAGGGAAGGTGGGAAAAACCACAGAGATCATGGAAACAGAATCCACAGTGAGTGATGAAAATGAGTAAATTGAAAATCTCCACATTCATCTCAAAAAAGTACTATAAGACACTAAAGGAAATGTCCTGTCCTCTAGCCACCTTGAGGGAATGTTGAACAGTTTCAGTGATTCCTTGTTGGCAGAGCCTTTCAACAGACGGAGCTGCAGAGGAAAAAGAACCCCCGGAAAACAGTTTAAAGTAGAAAAGTGTTTCACTATTGGATAATGAAAGATATCAGAAACCAGGCTGGATACAAAGTCATCAAGTGAGCTGAAATCCACATGCGATGGAAATGTCATTGTTCACTTTTGACCTGACAGTATTTATGGATAGCATACTAACAACTGAGGTTAGTCCTTAAAATTTCCCATCATGCTCCATGTAAGACAATACACTGGAACTGAGCGTGTCATCTGATGTGCAATAAAACCATAAAACTGAGGAACCTATTTAAGACTAAATGAAACCACAGTATGGAGTAAGAATGGAGTCTGCAGACCAACAATATACACACATTTTCCATATGTTTGAACACATATTTACCTTAGGAAATGTTTGTTCCTGCTACTTTAACTAGTTATTAGTTATTTTTTATATATTATTTTTATATTGTATGTATTAGTATCTGTAATGGGCCGAGCAGCAGCTGCAACAAACCCAGCAGAATGAAAAGGTGTAAAGTGTTCTCAGACGACAGAGCTCAGTGTGGCTGTGGACCCACAGATATTATTTTATGGAGTCCAGTGACATCAGGAAACATGTCATATTAAATAACAGCTGTGTCTTTGAGAAACAAATCACTTTGTCAGACACGGTATTAAAGGTGGTTATTTTCCATCACTGGGAGCGCACAGACACACACACGCACAAACACACACACACACACACTGTTGACAGGGCCAGCGGAAGTGCCAGACGACATTAGCAGAGACAAGGCCGCAGAGCAACACAAAGGAGCTCTGTCAGTGAGATATGAAGGGGAGGGGAGGTGAAGGGGGAGCAGGCAGGGGTAAAGAAGGGAGAGGGAGAGAAAGTTTGGGTGAGGAGAGACAGTGGAGTGACATGGATGAAGGGTAAGGGGAGAATTGATAGATGAGTTGTTTTTTTTTTACTCCCGCGTCTAATGTGAGTTTTCTGATATATGATATATAATTCTCTTTAATGAATTCCTACTGTATAAAAGTGACTGCGGACTGAAAATGTACTTTTTAGAAAGAGAAATTCAGCTTAACTTAAAAAATCTATTTCTATTCTGTTTATATTCTTCCTCTTTGTCTCTTTGTGTTTTGAGCAGCCTTTTTGATGAGTTAAACCTCCATCACTCATCAGAAAAACTTCTCGAATCTGACGCTTTTGTTTGGATCCGTCCAGACCACACCCCTCACCCTTCTGCCCTGCCTGAAGTCTTTCTGTCTTCTCCATTTCATTCCACCCATTTGGACTCAGTGCAGGTCGACTGACAGATTTACAGGTGCTTCTCATCTCTCGCCTACAGGGGAGTTTTTGGGTGTGGGGAGGAGTCATGAGGTGGGGGGAGGTTTGGGAGGGAGAGGAGAGGGGTGGCTTCCACGAACAGCACATGCCGCTGCCGAGGCTGTCTGGTTGTGTCAACAGTTTTGAATTCTTGCCAGTGTGAGCATAAGCCACTCCATTAATTAAAAACAACAGGAAGTGAGGACCAATAAATATTCTCAACAGACCATCACTTAAGTGCATTCTCTGAAAATGCCAAGTGGCTGCCAGGCACGCATCCACGTGATCCAGTCTGGGTGGAGCAGCATCTGCAGTGCATTCACAAAAGTGAGCACAAGGAGATAAGGAGGAGGAGGAAATGCTAGTTTAGAAGAAGTTGAACTTCATTCTTACATGTTTAACACTCTGTCCATCACTGGATATGTACTGTCTTTTACATTTTTTGGCACTTTAAATTTTGCACTTGGAATTTATAAAAAAATAGCAATACATAGATAATATTTTTGGGGCATATTAAACAGGTTGCCCTAAGACACTGCACCTCAAACAGGGTGTGGCAGTAAAAGTAAAGGCCTGGTAGTAATGACCCATCGGCCTTTCTATGCTCCTCTCTTCAACTTTTAATGACATCGACTGGTTTACCAGGAAGCAGGCTGCATATTTGGCCTTCCCCATCTGCTGTGGAAGGGCACAATGCAGTGTTTGTGTGACTGTGATCTGTGTCCTCTGTCCACCCCCCCCCCCCCCCCCCCCCCCCCCCCCTTCTTCCTTCAAGCCACAGATGTTCCCAGTGTCATCCCACTAAAGCGCCTGCAGACAAGACTGTGTTCTGTGTTCTCCAGCAGTGAAAGGGCCGCAAACATCCGAGAGGACACCATGGGAACAGAGTGGCCAGCTTTGATAGTGCAGTCACGCAGATTTTTTTTTTTTTGATGGGGTTGGGAAATGTTTGTTCCATCCATTCATAAATGAATCTTTGTGAGAACTGCAGGTCTAGTGAATGGAAAATGGATGCAGACCACAGCGGTGACTGTGCATTTGTCATCGGCGGACAATGAGTGACCACAGAGCTCAAAATAGTAAACACTGGACAGTAGCAGTGGTGAACAAATTCCCAAGGAAATGTGTGGGAGGAAATGCATGTTTATGGTGTGGGAAGGAACTGTGTTCGTCATTATTCCTGCCATCCTTTAGCATCTTTCCATTCTGAACCCAGGAGGTTTTTTCCACTGCCTGCAGCCAAACAAAGAGCACGCATGTACCGTTCAGTACGTACCTTCCTCTTTCACTGGCCAGAGCGTCGATCTCGTCAAAGAAGACGATGGAGGGAGAGACGGCCCTCGCCTTCCGAAACACCTGCGGCCACCGTCAGACACAACAGAGGAAAAGGAAAACAGGATAAATCTACAACTCAGCCGATGAATCATTTGAAAGTCACAATTGGGCTCAAACACACGCAGGAAACAGCCTGCGTTGATGTCACGCGTCACATCCGTTCTTTATATAAACGCCTGAAAATAGCCAGAGCAACACAATTTTATCTCCTCAGTTTGGTCACGAGGAAAGAACGTCAGCTTATGCAACGATCTGTTGACGTCAAAAGGCATTTGACTCACGTCTGCCACACGTGTGACAACAATAATCGTGATGGTATAATGAAAGGTACCCACCTCTCTCACAGCTCGTTCTGACTCTCCAACGTACTTGCTCAATAATTCTGGACCCTGGAAATAAAAAAAAAGAGACAACGAGAAATTTAATGATTTATCAAAATCTGTTGGTTTTTTTGCCAAGGCAAATAGGTTTCAAATGCTTATTGATCATGCTGGTTTAGGTCACATGACTCTGGGGTCACATTGGTCTTATTAAGGGGTGAAAATATATTTTATTAAAAACATGTCTATGTTAGACCTTCAGAACTGATAGTAGAGAAGTGTTTTTGTGAAATTGTTAAACAGAGTTTTAAAAATGTAATTAGAACCCAAATGTAATACCATAACATTGATGGTTTAGAAGGGAACGTGAGCAAACTCAGTCCTCCAGTGTTGATATTCAACAACAAAGTATGTTACCAGCAACAAACTGGGAAAGTGTAATGTTTGGTTTAATTATGAATTACTGTTGGTGAGACAAACAAAACAGTAGCTGCAGGATCTCAGAAGAGGATGTTTGTGGTTCAGTGTTTCGTGGCGTCTGATTTCCTGCATTGATAAATAATCAGCAACAACATCAGGTCTCATCTTGAGTCTAATCATGTTTTGCTTTTGTGGAATATAACCTGCGGCACTGGACTGGAAAATGGTTTTAACGGAGAAATAACAAAGTCTTCATAAAGAAAGACCTTTTACTGCGGCTCTTTGGTATCATTTAAAAAAAACAAAACAACAACCACAGGGTGGTAATGGTGATATTACAGTCCTAAGATCGTGGGCGTGATCCTGTTTGTGTTTATACTCCGCTGTACTCTTTGTTTTGTGTAAAATCTTTAGTCGACCAGAAACATGGAAACCAATCCTACTGCGTCTCACAACAACTGAATGGCATTCAAAATACACCGACTTCCACTGTTGAGACAGTGTAATTACTTCATATTTCCACAGTGGAAAATCTAATCGCTGGTCTGTTCTCCACATATTTCCCTAAAAAGCAGATTTTCACTGTAGAAACGTGTTTCTTTACAACATCGCAGAAATACTCTGCATGAAGACACCAGGCTTGTTTTCAGTACTCAGGTGGCAGGACAACAGAGTGGTCAGAGAAATGAAACAACAAACAAACACACCTTCCTGAAGCTTTGGAGAACTACTCCACTCCTGCTAACAGCTAGCTCTCTAGCTAATGAATGGTACTTAATTTAACACATTCATTTTTAATCACTTCTTTCATGTTTGTCTGCAGCTGTTTCCAAATCTGTATAGTTTTATTTCATGTCACTGCAGTCAAATATTAAAGACCATTATAAACTGTTCAAATATATAAAAAAAGAATGAACAGAATCAAAACAGTCCTAGTTTCATCATCCAGGAAAACCATCAGTTCTGAAGTCAGCAACAGTGTTTCATGCAGACTCCATTCACTAACTTTACTTTAAAAGGCCTACACAGACCAGTTGCCTTTTACCTGTTGGGTTTCAGGTTTGAATCCGGCCTTTGTCACTGTTGCCCTTAGGCACTGCAGGAAATCAGTAGTATATAGTCTTACAGACAAGAGAAACACAGTACAGGTCCAGACCATTAACCGCTCTAACTACGTGCACTGCCTCCTGTGCTAACTGACTTTATTTTACTTGTATATTTGACTTTATTTTGTCACTAAATCTTCTGTGACCTTTTTACTCTCCTTCACATCTCATCATCCTTCTTCAATCCCTCACTCACTCGCAGATAAACAACCCCTCAAACCTCAGAAGAACTTCCTCCTCAGCAATCCACCCTTTCAACACCCCGGAGCTGACGGAGGAGAAGACACTTAACTGCCAGCCCTTTTGTCTCCTGCTGTAAGTGTGTGGAGTTTGATTCATTAATCCCAGGTTCCTCTCTCTGAGACAGAGACAGTCAAAGGCTGGACATGGTGGGTTTATGGACACGAGTGTGTCTCAGTGGGAGGAAGGTCAAATTGACTGGATGGAAATAGACATTTTTCACACAGAGAAAAACATCAGAGCTTTAAAGTACCACATTTAAACGTGGATACAATTTCTACTGGAATAACCTGGTGAACGTCTGTTACTGCAGATGGTGGACAGAGTGTGGCCTTCATCACAGAGATGACGATGTTGAATCTATTCATGGAGAGGACTCGTCCTCATTACTGTACTTCAAAGCTACACTTTTGTCTGGACATTATTTAACAAGAACAATTACGTTCAGAGAGATTTGATAAAATAAGAATCCAAGGCCAACAAATACTCCTGTGACTCAAAATGCTCAATGCTCAGAATTGTATTAAATTACTTTTTTAGCTTTTTTTCTTCACCACAAAGTAAAATTAAAATAGTTAAGATAAGTTTTGATGTGTTGTAGGAACAGACAAGATAAAATAATGTGAATAATATATCTATAGATAAAAATAAAAAAATCTCCCTTTGGTTGTAATGGTTTTTCACACAACTGCCCAATAACTAAGTAAAATGAAAAACAAATATTGTTTTAAGAAAAGGCTAAAACGTTTTTGGGGAAAGGTGAAGATAGATAAGTGATAGATAAATGAGCACAAAAAATGTATTAAATTAAATATTGAAGGTTGTTATGAGCTTGGCAAAAGTCAGTGCATCTACAGTTTATGGATCTCGTGCTAATATTAATACCGTTTGGAGCCACATTAATCCCTGCCATAGCATCACTGGAAACATAATTCCATAACTCAAAAGATGTGGAATTAAATAATTAGGGAGAAACAAGACGACAGTCAAGTTAATACGACCCGCTGACGCAGGGAGGAGGAAATATGTGAACAGTGCAGCCTCTAGTAAACAGGATGTCCAAGCTTGTGTAATGTGTCCAAAGAAAACTGTGCAAAACAGATGCATAAATGTGCAAGAGACAGATGTTTCACATGTGTAAACAGGAACAGAGAAGGTGCAGGGAACAAATAATCGCGTCAGATGTTGGTGGAGCAACAGCAGCACAGAGCAGTGATCACATGTACTGGACTGGAGGGAGCCACGATGACATGCTGCAAAGCTTGACGTCAACTCGTCTCTGATCAAAAGTTGTTGATGCCAACAGTGTGAACGCCTCATAGAATTAAACAAAGGAGGCAGAGCTGCAGCAACAGGTGAGTGAGTGAACCTAGTCGGCCTTCAACTCATTTTATACCTGATGAAAGCTTTTTATTGTAAGTGAGGATGATGATGATGATGATAGTGAAGCAGAAACTGGAAAAAAAGCCTGGACTGAGAAGAGATTTTGAACAATTTTATGGCCCGTACTGTGGAAGTAAAATGAAAGTCTGCGATTATTCCACCACAGATGAAGAGGTCAGTGACTATTTGAAAAATACTATAATTTCCCAGAGTGATGTATTTATCTGGATTTTACCTACTCTTCATTATATCTGTTCATACATGCTGAACAGACACAGAGATCTGTCGAATTTACAAAAAGAAGTTTGAAACTATTTCAAGAAAAACCTGAGCTTCTTTGTCTGTGATGACATCACGGTGAAAAATGACAAACCAGTCAATGTCTCAGAGCGTGATCCCAGCAGCAGCTGATGTCCTCGTGTCTACGGCTGAGTGCTTCTGTCGAAGCCTTTCAGTCTCACACGCTGACTGCCTTTCACAATATTCACTTCATCAACAATTCAACGAGATGATCAATCAATCTCTGTCCACCGGCCATTGATGGAGGAGGGCGGAGGGCAGGCGGAGAGGATGCAGTGATGAATGAGAAGATACAAAACACAGGGTCATAGGTCAGACAAAGAAGCTCTCTGCAGAGGAAGTAGAGCAGCCAGACCGCCTGCGGGTCATCAAGGAAACATACTTGTGTCCAGCCGAGTATCCAAGGAGTTACTCAGATAAAAAAAGAACTGTGCTGAGAAGAGAGAGCTTCCAATATCACCTCCTTAGAGCATTTACCCAGAACAGCTTGGATTAAAAAAAGTGTATAGCCTTCCTATTTTATAACTCTCAGACAGAGACTCACCTTGATAGCCAGAAAGTTGAGCCCACTTTCATTGGCCAGAGCCTTTGCTATCATGGTCTTGGAGCAGCCGGGGGGTCCATACAGCAGGACCCCTTTAGGTGGTTGGATGCCCAGTCGAGTAAAGGCCTCAGGATGCCTCAGTGGCCACTCAACGGCCTGCTTCAGCTTCAGCTTCACCTCTTCCATCCCACCTACGTCTGA